TAATTTTTTTTTCAGTTCAGTTAAAGACAGATTATCCACGTCAGACTAGAAAATTCACAAAAGATAAATATCTTATAATCTGACCCCAAGAAAATTACTAAGTTTTAAACTCAAAATTTTTAGGCTACGTCTCCGCTGAACTTAAAATTCCTAAACTAGAACCAAAAAAAAAAAAAGAAAAAAGAACGTGTTTCCAAATGCCATTTAACATGGGATTTCATTTTTACTAATGAGAGGAAGACTGTGGAACCATCTGGTTATAACTGCAAGTGACATGGTCGATTCTAAAATTACAATTAGTTGAAATAATTTATGACCAATTATTAAATAATTGTACCTTTAAAAAATAAAAACGTTTTATTATGATATTTGAAAAAAGAGTCTACAGTACCAGAAAAAAAAATTCGATATCATACTATTATTACAACTTTTGTGTATATTTTTATAACTTTTGTACGATCTTAAAAATATTAGGATTGATCGCAAAACTATAACAAAAGTGATAAAAATACTCTCAACAAATTATAAAAATCAACCATAAAAATTATAAATTTTTTTGTTACAAAAATTAAAAAACTCGGTACTAATTTTTTATTTTAAGTACCGTAAACTATTTTTATTTTTTAAAAATTCGGACCTGGAAATTTCGATATCGGACCTACGGGGGTTTGACCCAGCAAAAAAGTTGTCATGAAAAAACGACATGCGCCGCATATACATGACATAAAGCAAATGAAATGGTTAGTCGGGTGGACCCAATCAATTTCTCGGATCGCAAAGTACAAGTCTTATAAGAATCTTTTTTACATTATTCTTATAACAAAAAGCGTTTAATCACCGTTAAATTTGGACTAAAGATCTTCAAAAAAGCTAACGGACATTGAACCGGCAATCACTCTTTTTTTACTTTACTACTAACATCATGTCTCTTCCATGATTTAGAATGCACGCTTGGACATCTCTCTCTCTCTCTCTCTCTCTCTCTCTCCTAGTCAAACTATTTTTGAACTTTTAAGAATAAAGCACATGATGTTTGGTAGTAAAGTAAAAACATAATTTATCCGATGTAATTTATCTTATCTGTTGATTTATCCATTAAGGACCATTTGATAACATTGAATAAAAATCTTATTTTTAATTAGAGTTAAAACCCTCAACTTTTAATTCCTCACTTATTCAATTACATGATAGAATGGGGAGTAATGATATGCTTACTAAATTTTTTATTTTAAATTAATGTGAGTTGTTACATTAATGAGGTCTATTAACTTTTACAAAATATTCAATATACAGGATTTTGACACATCATTTTAGATACAGCATTTAATAAACAAATTAATCTATTGGAGTCAGGTCATAAGAGATTTATCTCTCTTGAATATTTTAATATCGACATGAATGAATTTTTTTTTTTTTTACCCTGGGCTAGCGATGCATGGAGCATCGCCTAAAAATTACAGTAGTAAACACTACTATTTATAAGCCTTTGGAGGCATTGTGTTGAAAAAATATATACCAACGTGAATGACTTACCATTGATCGAATAAAAAAAAAAAAAATCAAAATACGCGCAAACTAATCTATACATCCTGACTAGGGGTATTCAAAATTTTGATTACCCACAAATTACGACTCTATCATACCCTACTTGACTCTATTTATTGATTACTCGAAAGACTCGGGTAGATCAATTAAAAAAAATTTTGTATTCTGCAAAATTTCGGATAAAAATACAGAATAGTTAAAAATTTTTATATTTTCATCTTACTCTACCCGCACATATATATGTGTGTGTGTAAATTCCTAAAAATTAAAATCCAAAAATTTAGAAATTTTAATATTTTATTGATGTTTATGACTTTCTTATATATAATATATTGATGTTTATAATTTTCTTGTTATGTTTTATTGTAATTATTTATGTATTATTGAATTTATTGTATTTTTTGTAGTGTTATTAATTTATTGTGTCAGTTAATTAGTATATATTATTTAATTAAATTGCTAAAATAATTTAAAAATTAATAACTAAAAAAATATGTTTATCCAATTTTTTACCCAACTTTTTCTTTAATTGTTTTAGATAAAATTTGAGTAAAAATAATACACTTAATTAAATAGAATAGGTCAAAAAAAATTTTTTTCCACAAAATATCGAAGAGATAAAAATTTTAGGGCAAATTCCAATTTACCCCCTTGTAGTTTGTGCCCTGAGCAGATGATCCCCTTATTATTTGAAAATAAACACATCACCCCTGTAGTGATGGATTAAATTGCAACTGTTAGGTTTTTGGTTAGAACAGACGAAAATGGAGAGGACGCTCTAGTTTGGCGATTGATCAACAAAGTTATCAGCTTCCCTCCAAAATAAATATACCCAAATGTAAAAAATGACCCTATGTTAACAGATGTTATACTCCTCGGCCTTCCACAAGCTCATCCTCATGACTTCCAAACCTCAACGCTTCCGTCAATATAATCTCTCTCTCTTTCTTTGAGTCAATCTTACAAAGTGCATCAAAGAAGCCAAGAATAGTGATCAGTGACCACTGAGTCCTCTTCCATAAAAGACATTTTCTCCAAATACGCTGACTGTCTCAATAACCTCTTAAAACATACTTACTATTTAATTTTCATATATTCACACTCAGTATTGGGTATGAGTTTCTATTGGATGCTTCAAATGCAAAATTATAAATGGTTTTCAAATGGGTTTTGAGATGAGTGTTGAACTGTTAATTGTAAAGAGAACTTTTGCTACAAGGCATCATCCACAATTCTGTGATAGGGTAAGCCTGTTTTCATATTCAATAACAATTTCCTAAAGTTTTTTTTAGTGGGTGAGGTGTAGAGTGAAAGAAAATCAAAACTCCTTGTTTAAGTTTGAAACTTGAATTTTTGGGTATTTAAAATTTAGAGTTTCGGAGGTGAATGAGGCCTAATTCACCATTTTTAGGGTCAAGGAATCCATTTTTGAAGTTAGAATCGAGAAATAATGAGATTTGATGGGTAAAAATTTGAATTAAAAATCGTGACATATGTACATAACCTGTCAAAATGAGTTTGTGATCACCTTTGAGCTTAAATTCGTGGGTCATGGGGGCTATTTAAGGAAACAAGTCTGTTGGGTTTAAAACTAGGTTTAGAACGGAGGATATTGACATTGGTTTGAGGAATTTTGATGCTTTGTGGAGAGAGAAAAAAGCTTGTAAAGTTGAGTGATTAGTTGATTTGTTATAAAATTAGGCAACATTTGAAAGGGGGGAAGAAGATGATGTATAGTTGAGAGTACTAAAGTCATTTTATCACTTCTGTTTACGGTGTTAATTGTGCATATCGATCCAAAAACATAAACAGATAATGTGCTAATTTTTAAATTATAAGGGAGTTATGTGCGAAACACCTAAACCCAAGGAAATAAACTGAATTTTGTCCAAAATTCTATCGATAGGTAGGGTGAATACGCCGCCTAACAGTGACTATTGAACTAAGGAAAGGGCATAACATTTATGCGGCCCCACCCCTGCATCATAACATTAATGTGATCCCATCCGACATAACATTTATGTGGCCCCACGCTAGTCAACATTCACTCCGGTATTTAAGAAAATTACACTTAGATCCCTTAAACTATAAATCTCTTTTCACTGTATCCTACAAACTTCTCCACTTTTCACATTATATCTCACACTATTGTTGGAATGCGTATCACATTATGTTGATCGATGACTTTTTATTTTCAAGATAAATTATTCCAAAAATAAAATTCTACCATATTAAGGAGCAAATCAAGAAAAACTGCATCTCTTTATATTGTCAAATCTTATTTTTATCTTTATTTATTATGAAAAAATTAGATAAAATTAATAGATGGATTATATGAAACTCAATTCAATAGTTTCGATCCTAATGTAACAAAAAATAGATAGTTTAAGAAAAGATGTGAAATGAAGAACATAGTTCCAGAGGTATAAGTGCAATTTTTACATTGGGTTTTCAAATCAAACTCTAAAAAAATAACAATAATTTTATTTGAACTTAATTTATTAATTTAAAAAATTTATATTTGTTTATGTATTAAAATTTGTGTCCATTAAAATTTTATTCAAGTTAATTAAAATTTATTTTTTTTTATGTATTAAAATTTGAACCGATTAAAATTCTATTTGAGCTAATTAAAAATTATTTTTAATTGACTCAAATCAAATTTTAATCTACTCGCATTGAATTTTAATCGATCTAAATTTTAATACGTAAAAAAATATAAATTTTAATTGACTCAAATTTTAATAAGTAAAAAAATATAAATTTTAATCAACTCAAAAACGAATTTTAATTAGCACTAACAATTCAAGTGGAGGTCAAATCGGCTCGAATTTTTAATATGTAAAAAATAAATTTTAATAGACTCAAATTTTAATGCTTAAAAATAAAATAAAATTTAACCAGGTCGGCTCAAATTTTAATTTGTAGAAAAATAAATTTTATCAACTCGAATTTTAATATGCAGAAAAATAAATTTTAATCGGTTTAAATTTTAATAAAATTTTATATAGAAAAATTATTTAGAGTTTATGTCGAGGCATTTTTTGTATTTCAAAAGAATCTTTTTTTTGGTTAAAAATAGTGATTTAATGATAGAGAGTGTTAGTGATATTTAAATATAAATTAAAAAGAATATTAATAATATTTTTAATAATATAAAAAATGTCCTTAAAAATATAAAAATCAGGAGAAGAGTGACTCTAAAATTCTCAATATCATTACTCGATAAGTCTAAATAATATTATTGGTTTTCGAATTTCAAAAAACTCTTCCAGCTCGGAAAAACCACCACGTGTCTCCCTTGTTCACATCAAACCACAACACCTACAACCACATGGCTCAAGTACTCTTCCTTCAAAAACCGCCTCTCACCAGGACGCACCCCGCATCCCCACTCCCCAAGAACCCCTTTCTCTTCCCAACTCTCTCACACCATTTTAACCCCTCTCTATCAATCCCAAATCTCCACCCAACCTCCATCTGTTTCTCTCTCTCACACGCAAAAGAAAATGGCGAAGAAAACAACAATGGCTACCCTCTTCTCCGTTCTTGCCATATGGTCTTTCGCCAGCGTTCACTCTGCACACCATGCGGCACCAGCACCAGCCGTGGACTGCTCGAACCTGGTGTTGAACATGGCGGACTGTCTCTCCTTCGTTACCAGCGGTAGTACCGTGAATAAGCCTGAGGGAACTTGTTGTTCTGGGTTGAAGACGGTGCTGAAAACCGACGCAGAGTGTCTCTGTGAGGCTTTCAGAAACAGTGCTCAGTTGGGCGTCACTTTGAATGTCACCAAGGCTTTCAGTCTACCCTCTGCTTGTCATGTCTCTGCTCCTTCTGTTAGCAACTGTGGATGTGAGTGACTTCGTCTAATACTTGTCCTTCTCCTCTGGGATATCTTTATACATTTTGCTCCTTTTTGTTTCCCGAGAAAATTTTCTCATTGCGACTGCTTATCTTCCTTTTAAGGCTTTCATTACCCAGTTCTCTCTCTTTTTGTTTCTACACTGCTTCTGTTAGCTATTGTGGATGTGAGACCCTTTTGCAATTCCTTTTTTTTTTTTGGTGGGGGTTCCTGATTTCTTTATTCTCCTGTTTATGTCCCGAGAAAATGATCTTACTGGGACTGCTCTGTTTTATCTCCATTGGAGGTCTTCCTTGCCCAGTTCTCTCTGTTTCTGGAGAAAATGTGTTTTTTTTTCTTTCTCAGAATAGTTTTCCGTCTTTTTAGGCTTTTATCTCCCTTGTTCTTTTGTTTCCATACTGCATGTTTCTCGAGAAAATGTTCTTCTCAGAAACCCTTTCTTTCTTTAAGCTTTTTTTTTTCTTGGCTCCGGTTGATAAGGTTTTTCTTACCCAGTTTCTCTGTTTGTTTCAGGAGAAAATTTTATTCGCAGAAACGATTTCCTTCTCATCAGGCTTTTATATTTGGCTCCTACTTTTGTATTATTTTGTCTTTTAGGTTTTTCTCGCATTTTTTTTGTTTGCTTTCCAAGGCAATTTGCTCTCTAGGATTACTCTTATTTCTCATTGAAGCTTTATTTTCTTGTCTAACAATTTCTCTGTAAAATTTTCTCCCATTCTCCCTAGGATTTTATCTGGCCACCTTTCCTCCGTTTCCCTGGTTTTCACTTCGTTTTTGGCCCTGTTTACTTGCTTACATTATCGCAATGTTTGATTATAGGAACTTTAGTTCGCTTTTCTCTGTTTAATTGCATTCTTGGCATGCTCTACTCTGTTTGTTTCTCGGGAAAAGTACTTTCCTGGAAAAGTTCGTGTTATATTATACCCATATGCATTGTTTTTTGAGTCTGAAAATTTACAAGATTTTTTTTTCCTTGTTTTTTTCTTTGGACAGTGAGTGTTGTTCCTGGTGCAGCTCCTGGTATGTAAATGAACTTATATTTGACCTGTTTCATACTCTGTTTATATTTGCTTTCTGCTTTGATTTAGTGTTAGTCATAAATTTTTAAATATGTTTATGCCTGTGGATTTGGATTTGGATTTGATCTTTTGATTCTTCATTACCTTGTTTCTTTTAAATCCTGATCTAACAAAGGAGAATGTTGTTATTATTATGCACCATGCATTAAGTGAGTGTGCCATTTATATATACTTTGGAGAAGAGCAATGGTATTAGGATCTAATTTACTGACTAATATGTTGACCTAATTCACTATGACCCTTAAATTAATTGTGGACTCCATCAAACGTTAGAACTTAGTGTTGATCCAATGGTTTCAATGAAACCAAATCATTATGTCAGTAAATTCGGCTAGATTTTTAGGTCAAAATAGGATTACTCTTTGGAGAAAAAAAAGTATTCGAGAGGATCTTAGTAATGTGATTGATAGAAACTAAATTATTTTATGCTATTAAAAATTGTTTTTGTTTCATATTTGTGTTTAAAGCCAATTTTTATATTGTTGGAGAAAGCCTCTAGGATGTCTTTTCGATTCTTCTCCAACTTGCCCCTCATCTTTTGGTCTAATTATTTGTTTTGCCATTTATGTATAAAGTATCACATTGGTTAATCAATAATCAACCATATGCTCTGGACACATTCACGTGGCTCTCTATTGCTGTTCTTCCCAAGTGTTTATGGTGAAATGGGTCATTTCATTTATAGCAAGCACTATAGCATGCAGGACTTGGGGCCAAGTGTTTGATTTTTGGATAATCCTACATGGATAAAAGAAGATAGAATATAGAATCAAGATATTGTGGCGACTGCCGACTTAGTAATTTTTTTTTTTTTTTGTTTCATTGTCGGTCTTACAGATCCAAATTATCCGACCATCGAATGAAGATCTATTTAGATATATGGTAATCAATTTGCCTAATGTAGGTGCTAATGTTTTGTTTGGTATAATGGAAAAGTGGAAGCATAAAAAATTGAAAGGATGAAAAGTTAGTAGGATATAGAAGATATCATGTTTGGCGAGGAAGAAAAATGAGAAAGCTGAAAAAGGAGAAATATTAGCCTTTCTTTAAACTTATCAAAATCTATCCCTCTAAAATTGGGAGAAAAGGGAGATGAACATTTAATGATGTGTGTTGAAATATATGTTATTTTCTTTTACACCCCTTAATATAGGCACATATACTATTTATCTATTATATATTATGTACACTCTAATTTTCTATATAGATACAATGGTAAAATATGTATCTATATTTTTTCTTTTCTTTCAATTTCTCATTCAAATCAAACACAAATTAATCCTTCCTTCTTTTTTTTCCCTCTTACCAAGCACAAAAAATGGAATGTATCATTTCTACTTTCATCTTTTCATCCCCGACCAAACACCCCATAACCCTTCAACTTTAGCCAATTTGTCTTTCTGCCAAGGAATGAACCATTGTTCACATATTTGATAATCAATGTGCCTCATATCGGTTCTTAGCTTTAATTAAGCAGGTTCCTTGCCCATTCAACTTAAGTTAATGAATTTAGCCCCCCTTCACCCACTCTCGTGTCAGGGAAAGCTAATTTTTTGTGTTTCTTGATTACAGAACGAGGCCTTTGGTAGGCCTAGATACGGGAATCCTCTCTTGTTGTAACTTGGACGAGACTTGAAAATTGTCCTTAATTAAATGGTTCCAAACTCATATATAGGAAGAAAAATGTGATTGTGATTACTTTATGAAATATAAGGTGGTTTAATTTGTGGCTTCAATTGTTGTTAAGTGTACCGGTTGAAACACTAATTGCTAATTGTATGCTGCAGCTCTTGCGCCGGTGACTGTGTCTCCAGGATCCACTGCTGCTGCTCCTACTGTTGTGGGAGCTAACGAGTTTGCTCCAGCTCCGGCCCCCGCAAGCTCAGGTGGTTCTGTGGTTGCCATTTCTGCTATTCTTACTCTAGTTGTTGCATCTCTCTCTTTGTTCTGAGATCATTTGTTAGTACGCCTTTTTAGAGATGAGGGAAAGAGCAAATGGGTGACCGTTGTGACGTTTGTTTTCTTAAATTTCATATTTGCGGTACTGTTATTACATATTACTAGGTTATTACATAATACATATTACTAGGTCTTTTTTGATGTGGGAGCTTGGGTATTAGATATATTTTCATTGAACCTGTTATGTATCTTGATTCTGCTATATTGATTGCCATTTCAGTTTTATATCAGTCTCTTTCTTGTAGTCTTATTTGGGTTTTGTCTCTTGGCTTTCTTTTGATCAATGTATTGGCCTCTGTCAACAGAATTTCTAAATATTGCTAGGGGCTTTAAGTAGGATTTGATAATCTGGTCGAGCTCAATTTGAATTCGGGTTGTTTTTTTAGACGAATCAAGTCGGAACTTTTTTTCAATGCAAAAAATAATAATATGCTCATACTTTTATCAAAACTTAATCCAAACATGATGGCGATGGGATAAGAAAAAATTGCACAACACTAATATGGATTGTATTGAAATAAAATTTTCAGTTACTTTTTATTCATTGTTATACCCGAATTAAACATTTGTTACCCAAGCAATCACTATCAACACTGCTCCCTCCCCTACCTACACGATCACATTTCCTCGATCCCTTTGCTGTTTTAATTTTGTGACCAGGAAATTGATTGGTCTTTTTTTCTGAACATAAAGCAAATGCAGCGAAAAATGTTTTTAGGGTTGCTGCTGTTGTTTGTTTGTTTGTTTTGTTTTTTTTCACGGTCAAAGTGTCGACTAATTTACGTCCAGGACGACTAATTCTCTCTTTAGTTTGTTAAAGACAGATTATTTACGTCGGGACTAAGATATTAATGAGAAATAAATTTTTTATAATTTAATTGTAAAAAGTAGTTAAGAATTAAACTTAGGACGTTGAGTTTATGTCTCATTTTTATTACTATTTGAGCTATGCTAGGATTAAGGTTCTCTTTGGCAACTTGTGAACTGTCTTACCATTTTAAGTTGTGTCCAAGCTAATAGGGCAAATTATATTTTATACGCCGAAAAATTAAGTATTTTCACTTCATTTTAAATATTAAAATTTTAATATTACATCCTTGATGTATTAAAATCATTGTAATGTAATTTTTTTGTTAGTGATGGGGTCTCGGAAATTGCCGCCCAAGGCTAAAGTGTGGAATGTTATTCGCTTTAACGTTTTCGGTTAATTTGGGGAATGAGGTGTTTGCTAAAAGTGAGGACAAAAAGAAATAAGTGGTTCGCTTTAGTCGATAGATCAAGGTTACGTCAATTATAATTGACTCTCTTACTCCTTGTTGTGCATTGAGTTTCTGTTGAATATAGTCGAGTTACAAGCTTTGAGCCGTTTTTCGGGAGTGGGGGTTGTTCACAGAGTTTCTTTTTGGTTGGGAGAAGTTTCTCTTTTTCTGGTAAGACACTGTTCTTTATATATGAGTCATTTCTAAGGGTTCCTTGTGATATCTTCTACCTTTTCGTTGATCCTGTGAGGACCTCCTGTCCTTGTCCAGCAAAAGCCTTTCTCCGCCGTTCTCCTAGTGTCCACGATCTCTGGGACCTTAAGCTCCACCATCCTCTGTGTCCGGGAATACGTTGCACGTTTTAGAGATGGTCCCTTTGTCCCTCGGACGCATGGCATGGTGGGATTGTTTAGGTATGAACGGTCCGTTTCTTCCTTGGGCCATTATTAGGCTGGGGCTTGACTGGGTCTGGGTTGGGCCATTGTCTTTCTAATTCCCATTGGGTTTTACTCTGTTCTACTGGGCTAATCTAGGACATTCTTCTTGGGCTATGGGATTCTTTGGCCTGAAGTTGTGGCGGCCCATGCTCAAAATTCCACCCTTTTCAGTTTGCTTCCAATGTTCATTATGTCAAGACGTCAATATGATGATTTTTATTGGAATAAACAATTACAGATAGCGAAAATGTCACATTTCACACTTTGAATACATTAAGAGTGAAATATAAAAAAATTAATCTTTGAATATGCAAAATAAAATTTCTTAAATCTTTCAAGGTAGAAAATGTGATTCTCCCGAACCAATTATATGTCATTCAACAAGGCCAAGACTCTGCCCTTTTCACCCTTGATATGCTCTCCAGGCTCCCTCTGGTGACACGTGTCCCATCACAATCACCCTCTTGCTCTCCGGTAAGAATATCAATGGACTGAAGTGAGGGTGGAGATATAGTCTCCATTCTCATACCCGCTTAAAAAAACTCCTTCCATCCCTGGTATACCCCTGTTAACGGGTATTATTTTCAACCCTATCCCCGTCCGTGGATAAATTTTTAATTTCCGTCCCCGTTCTCACTTCCCTTGTACCCGTCCAATGGTTCAGTCCCATCCCGTATATTTTCTTATATATATATAGTTTCATGAAAATATATATATATACTTGAGGACAGTTTTATGGGTTTATATATATATACTAATAATAACCTGTGCCTGAAGGTACTAAGCAAGTCAAAAAACTTTGATCACCGGTTATGCAATATAAATATTTCAAAAATATTTTATTTTTTTATTATTTTCTTTAGTTACACAAATCAAAATTAATTTAAAAACATTATTTTAAAATTTTTTTTGACAAAACTTCTTTAAAAACATGACTCCTAAAAAATATCACATGTATACAATTTATATATTTAATCATTATATCTAAAAAATATCTTCTTTTTTTTTGTAGGAGTTGATATTGACATGTGTGTGTTGACGGGTGTATAGAGAGAGAGTTATATGATAGATGTGATAAATTTATGATAGGTGAGAATATGATATAGAGAGAGATTTGAGTATTAATGGGTATTAGATGTATTATGTTATTATTAGATATATATATAGTCGTCCAAGTCAAACTCTCAGAAGATAAAGTTATGAGAGATGAGAGTGTGAGTAAGAGAAACAGATGTAAAAGAAATAAAAATCTAATTAGGATCATATAGATATAGATAGATAGATAGATAGATATAGGATGACATATTTGGACAGAGCTACACAGGGGCGAGGGTGGACACAGGCCCATCCTCAATTTTTTTTTTAAATATGATATATATATATATATATATATATATATATATATATATATATATATATTCTAAAAGTTATACACACATATATATAATTATTTAGTCTTTTTTTATTATAATATGACTTTTTTCTGATGACTTTCATTTTATTATGAATTTTTGCAAGTGAAAGTGCTTTAAATTAATCTTCATTTGATTTTATTTTTTCTATGAAAAATTATTTTTTATTTTTATTCGAGTATTGATTATAGTCTTTATTATGTGCCAATTGATTTTTAATTTTTTACTATGTCTCTTAGATTTTAGTTTAATAGTTTTATTATACTAATATTTTAGTGATAATGTTTAAAACATCGTTTATTGAATAAATTTAATAGATTGTTAGTGAATAATTGATATTTTTTAATTATAAAAATGACAATTAGCTTCACATTTTACATTGGTGATAATTAGTCAATTTTTTATACATATTTAATATTTGGATAGGATGAATTTTGATAATATCTAAATCGTATATTTAAATTTCAATTAAATCTTAAATGTTCTTCTTTCTGTTTCTTTTAAATTTAGAGTATTAAATTTAATTTTAAAAATTTAAAATTGCCTCTATATTGTTAGTGTAGATAGATATATATAGATATACAACTGTCTAAGTCAAACTCTCCAATAGTTTAAATGAAGATGATGAGAGATAAAATGAATGTAATAGAGTCTTAGTCAATCTCTCCAATGTTTTGAATGGAGATGAGAAGAGATAAAAAGAATGTAGTTGAGTATTGTTAGAATATACATTAATTAGGATCGTCGGATCAATAATACTAAATCTATCTGAATCGTCTTTTATGTTGGGATTACGTTGTCTGTTGGATTTGTTTATATTTTGTCTCAAAACGATCTGAATTTCTCTTTGTCTTTTGGATTCAAACTTCCTTCTATTTTATATATATATATATATATATATATATATATATATATATATATATATATATATATATATATATATATAAACTCATGAAACTATCTTCGAGTATATGTATATGAATATATACTTGATGACAGTTTTATGGGTTTATACATATATACTAGTTATTTGTCCGTGCCTGAAAACACTATGTTACTTATAAAATTTCAACACATAAAGATAGGATATATAAATAACTAGTCACAACCCGTGCCTGAAGGCACGATAAAATATAAAATTTGAGCGTCCAAAAAATTGATCTCATTATATCAATTTTTTTTACAAATATATTAACTACAAATTAATCAAATATTAAATTATTAAATATATGATAGAAATGAGTAATGTAATATTTTTAGGGAATAAATATATACATGATTAAACATATGATATAAATAAGTGATGTGATTTGACGTTTGAGTCTGACAAAAGGATGATGGGTAAGATAAGTGATTGGTGGTAGTTTTGAGGGGAAAAATATGATTGGGATAAAATTCAAATACACTCATGTTTTATTATATAGATTTCAACACATAGCAATTATATTGGTTTTGAATATTTTTTGTTGGTTCAATTGATATCTTATTTTTTTTGTATTGGTCACTTATTATTATTTTTTTAATTGCTGATTAATTTGAGCTTTGAATTTTTTTTTTAATTTTCTGAGAACTATTGGTTTTCATATAGTAGTGATTTATTTTTGGTATAAATAATAACTTGATGATTTTATTTATAAATTATAAAGTCAATTTAAACTTCATTGATTGATAAGAAGTAAGAAGTAAATATCAACTATCGGTACTAAGATGCGTGATAAGAAAATCTACTTATACTGTACTCAAGGTATGAATCAGTTTGTAATAAAAATGATGAAAAATTATATAGTAAGTATATAATGGTTTTTAATGAAATATTATACCAAAGGTTTTGAAAAAATCGATATACTAAATAACTTACATGTTCAAAAATAGTGACATTGTCCATTTGGGTACTGATTTTTGTGTTGTAGTGACGATATGTATGTAATTATTAGGATCAAATGTTAAACTGTCAAATTTTGAAAAAAAAATATTAAACTTAGAGATATTATATATTTTATGTGTGTTTAATAGAAATATTTTTAATTTTATGCAAAATTTTCTTGTAAAATTAGAAATTAAACAAAATCAACCTAAATCAAGGTACAAACAATACACTTTTAACAATTAGATCATTTAATTTAAAATGAATTCAATTTAAGTTGTTATTGTACTTTTTCAAATTTAAAATAGAGATGTATGAAAGATAGGAGTGTAGAGTTTTACGATAAGAGATTTCTTCATGGACAAGAAAAGAAATTCAGGACTAACTGTAAACCGTTAGATCAAAATTTTTGAGATGATCTGAACCGTCTTTTATGTTGGAATTTTGTTGTCCATTGGATGTGTTTATGTTTTGTTTCAAAACGATCTGGACCTCTCTTTATCTTTTGGATTCAAATTTCGTTCTACTTTATTATATATATAAATATATCAAAACCTCAAACTATCATAAAATCAAAACCTCAAAATTAAAAAGAATTCAATAACAAGGACAGTTTCATGGGTTTAGATGAATATATATATATATATATATATATATATATATATATATATATATATATATATATATATATATATATATATATATATATATAAAGAGAGAGAGAGAGAGAGGGGGGATGATAAACCTTGATCGTGCCAGTACGTAGATCTTCCAAGTTTCTTACTGTTTTGAGATCTAAGCCTGAATCCAAGCCCAGTTGCCAGATTGGTTTGTTCTACCCCAAAAATGACAATAATTACTAAAATGCACAAATCTTCCCCTAACTAGATGAATTTGTCGAGATCAGCATCAATCATCTAACAGCATTGAACCAAAGCATCAAAAATCCGAGTTCACTCCCAAATTTCTTTTCCCTTTTGTTTCTCTATCCTTTCCCCTCAAGCATATGTAGATATCTAGTACCGTCAAAATTCGACACGACACGATTAACCAACACGAATCGATACGAATTAAACGGATTTGGATGAGATCTTAACGAATTTGGGTGATAAACGGGTTGACACGCCAAACACATTTAATAAACGGGTCATGTTCGGGTGAGAGTTGTCAAACCGTTTATCACACGTTTACCCGTTTAAATAAAATTAATATAATAATAAATTAATAGTTATTTTAAAAAATTAACAAGATAAAAGAAGTAAAGAAATCAATAAAAAAAGAAGAAGTAAAGTAGTAGTTCAAAAACAAAGGAAAAGAGTTGAAGAGCATTTCAAAGATAAAGACAAACAAATGTCTTTTGTTTTTGTCCCACATTGAAAAATGAGCTATTGCTTTTATTTTTTTAAAGCCTTCAAGTTTTATTTTTCAAAGACAAAGGAGAGGAGTTGTAAAACACTTCAAAGACAAAGACAAACCAATGTCTTTTGTTTTTGTCCCACATTGAAAAATGAGGGGAGATGGGGAGGGTGAGTTGCCTATAAAAGACAATAGCCTCTTATTTTTTTTTTAAAGCCTCCAAGTCTTATTTTTATGAGATTTGAATTAAAATTCCTCTTTTTTGAGGTAAGTGCAATTAGTAATAAAAAAAAATGGAGTATTAAAATTTGTTGATATAATTTTTTTAAAATTAAGCGGGTTAAACAAGTGGTGTTGTGTTACTCGTTTATTAAATGAGTTGTATTCGTTTGAAGATTTTTTACCTATTTATTAAACGTGTCGTGTATGAGTTTATACGTTTTTCACTCATCACCTGTTTAACCCGACACGATTGACACTTCTACACATACCATCTTTTTATATGTACAAATTACGCTCACAAAGAAACAAATTAATCTCAAAGAAAAAGGGAGGGAGCGTACAACAAGAAGGAAGGAAAAGAGATACCTCAGGGTCCCTGGCAAGGGCTGTTAATTAAATTGGGTTACTCGAGCTTGGCTTGAGTTCGACTCGGGTTTGGCTCGTTCAGGCTTGGTTCGTTTTCTAACGAGCCTGAATTTGAACAAATTTTTAGGCTCATTTAGAAAATAAACCAAACAAACTCAGCTCATTTATGTGCAAATACTCGAGCTTAGCTTGGACTCGACTTGTTTAAGACTCAATTAAAAAACAAACTTTTCAAACTCGGCTCGAACTTGGCTCGAACTTGGCTCAGGCTCGTTCGACTAACAAGTGGTGGTCGCTGGTGAGGAGGAGCGTTGCCAGTGGTGTTTAGCTGGGCAAAGGCAGTGGACAGAAACAGGCGTTGTGTGTGAAAGAGACAGAGATAGAGGAAGAGCCAAAGAAGTGGGCGGCCGAAGGCTAAGTGAAGAAGGGCAGAATAAATTAGGACTTCAAGAGTGTATATATATATATATATATATATATAAAATGGGTAACAGGGGCTGGGCGAGGGTAAAGGTAAGTCCATCCCCGCCTTCATCCTCGTGCGGGTTTATACGGGTATCCCAATATACGTGCACCGTCCAATACGTATAATCCATTTCCGAATGAAACAAGTTTGGACGAATACCTATTTTTCTCCGGTCCATTGTCATCCCCTTTCTCCAGATCTATACTGAATGATGTCACCCCTGAAACAATAGGAAAATTTTACGGTACTAAATTTTTTTTTATACCAGCTTATTTTTTATAGGTAAAATTATAATTTTAAAAAAAAATTATAACAGCTCAAAGAAAGGCTATGATGTGACACCCATAATCCATGAAAATTTCTGTATTAATCATAACTTTCAATGATCAAACATATTCTTTAAAGTTGTAACATACACCTTAAAAAAAATTACAACTTTACTTTAAAAAATTATAATTTTTGGTATAATAAACATGTCCTTGCTTTGAATATAAAATAAGAAAAAATTTTGACGTCTGAAATTACATGCCTTGTGCAGTCAGTTGATAGGGTAACGAGAAAAAAACTATTTAGACCAAAGCTTCCAAAAGGCTAGTTTTTATCCATAAGCATTCGAAGGCAGCACAAGAGACAAGCACGGAGTGAAAATAATTGAAAAAAATTATACTTTAATACCCTCAATTATAGTCTCCATCTCACATTGCCCCTTAAAACTAGCCTATTTTTTGCATTGCAACTATGTTTATTTCTTTTTTTCACGTTCCCACAATTAATGTCTATGATAAATTTGACAAGGTGGCTACTTATGTACGTACGTACTAGGTAATTATTCCCTGGCTAACTGCCTTTCACAACAAATATAACTAATCCACGTTAAAACAAGCAACATATCGAATAGACCTTTCTTTCTAGTCATAACCCCCCAATAATGAATTGTCGTTAATCCAGTAGTTCCAATAACACAAGAAGCAATTCAAAGAGCAACAGTTTGAAATACTTTCTATCTTCCTCTGTTTTTTTAACAGTCTTTCATTCCTATCACCGGATAATGAACCAAGCTTTACTGCACCAGCTAGCCTTTTATCTTACTTTCCCTTCCGTACTAAATGAGTTCGTTTCACTTTTTCCCTACAAGTGGATATTTGTTGCTCTAGAACGTAAAACCAACTCAAGCAATTGATTGGATAATGCAACAATTTAATAGTTCAAGGTTAACTTGAGATCAAAGTCAAGAATGAGGGTGTGAAAATGTAATTGATGAGAATTTTAGCCTCTCAAACAAACCCATTTTGCCCCGTAGTGCACAATTAAGAGAAATGAAAGGAACCTCAAATGGTATCCCAAATCAACGGGACCCTTGGATTAGTGGATTTTGTTAACTTTTTTTAACGGGATTCATTCATGTAGGAGTCTACTCATTTGAGATCCCAATTTGGTATACAAGGTATTTCTTCACAATTAAAGTGGTCTCATATATGTAAACAAGGATTGATATCCTCTCGATTACACTTTTTTTAATTTTACTTAATAGTAGATCATCAACCATGTATGAATGAGTAGCTCACTTGTAAATGGTGGGTCTCATGTGTATTCATGATAAATGATCTAGTATTGAGTAAAAGTGTAATAGAGATGTTATCAATACGTGTAAACAATGCAATTGTTTCCACTTTCCATTTGAAAGTAGCTTCCATCTTAGATAAATGTTTCTTAACTTTACCTGCACAAACTTGGCAATGAAGAGAAACTCTCACAAAAACCAACTGCATCCACAGACAAATGACTTAAACATTGCTCTAACCACTGTATATTTAGTAGAAGAAATTCTGACACATGGGAACAAAATTTCGTTTTAGCAATAAAAAAAGAGGAAGTTCGAGCCTCTCCCACTATTAAAGTTTCTACTGTAATCTTCTAAAGTGGTAGCTGTGATGAAGACATGGAGGATAACTACTCGACAGAAAGTTTCAACTCGAGAAAGTTAAGACAACCAAGTTACCTGAAAGGAGCATCACCAAAATAGGCAGTCATACCCTTTAAACTGCTCTGCACGTAATTTTCTTCAATCTGCATGCGTCTAACCAGCTTTAGCATGTAAAGGACTTCAAGAATGATGGCATGTATTCAGCATTTCATGCTAATGTATCAACCAGTAGAAAAAATACCTCAACATGTAGAGGAGGAGAAGACAGCCAAGAAAGTTCTTCCACTTCACGTTGGTCTACATTTTTAGGTAAGAACATAATGATGTTGGGGGTTATTGATTGAGCAATTTGAAACATTGAATACCTGCAGAGATGATGCAAATTTATTTCTGAATATAGAACACCACTCCAGGATTGGCAAGTCTATTTGCAGGTGCCGTATAATCCAGTAGCATTCAAAGTTTTTGAAGAAAAAACACTGTAACACTGCCAAATTCATTCAGTACACAAAGATGGCAGAAAATGCATAGTAGAACAAAAATCCTTCTTGCATTGAAATTCACTAGAGATTTCCAAGAAAGAGAAGTTAAAAAAAAACAGCATTTAGTGCTTATTTGAACAACTAATTTTTTGAAACATCTCTTATACCCAGAGTTTCCTTTTGGTCAAGATTCAGGACACTAATTCTCCATGGCATAATTGGTTATGTCTAAGAGAAGTTTTCAGTGAGTTTAAGCATAATGGTTGGCAAGTCGGAATCATAATTGTGATTGACAATGCCAAGACCTTCCTAGGAAGTTGAATAGCCTGATGTACTGATACACTTTACCTAAGTTAATCTTTGCAGGCAACCCTATTTTGCCAGGCTGATCACTTGTAAGTCTGCCCAAATATAAAAACAATTGGCTTAAAGTATACCCGGGCATGCTAGCTTAGGAAGGAAGATCCCTTGTATTTACCATGGTTCAAAATCACAGTATAAGTCATTAACTCAGAGGCCACTGAGATGTATTGGTCGGGGCATCACGGAACGATATCGAATGATACACTACGTAGTAGAAGAAGCTGAAGACCACAAGAGATTCAGATCATATCACAGCTGTTTCTTATTAAATGCAGTTCATAAAGTAATAAGCATGATCAGCAGCACATACCCATCCTTTGGCTTCAGTAGGTCAAGGGTAAAATTCCCAACTGAACTATATGATGGACCCCCCCATGGTGGTGAAAGGAATACTACATTACCCTAACAAAATGTACACCATTACAGATTTAGAAGGAAAGAATAACAGTAATCAAAATATAAGCAAGCAAATCAGAGAACATAGATAATTTCAATAGGAAATCCGAGAGAAACATCAGCCTTGTTTTCCACTGGCACCTGCAGTCAGTTACACATTATTGTCTTCAAAAATTTTAGTTTAACGAAGTTCTAGGAATCCTTCAGAGGCTGTAATTTCCTGGTGGAAAGCAACCTGTCTCAGATAAGATTTCAGTTTTAAGGGGGAAATTTGCACTTGTAAACACCGGCAAGTTAAAAACTAAAATTCCAAGCTCAACATTTGATTCAGAGAAATAGTGTTAAATCACACACAGGTAGAAGTCTCTAGCGTCGTCTAAAGTCCTTGGCCTCAACGCATTAATAAATAAAAGCCTCTCAATAAAGTAGGCAAATTTCACCTTCTGGTTTTGTCAGGTTACTCAGAGATTTTCCCCATTTTGTTTATCAGACAAGAGGCCAACGTGCACTAGCAAGTCATCCACAGCTTGTGATATGGTTAGCCAAATATTCCAGAAATGGGCATCAAACTTCAAACTTATTTGCACTCTTCAAAATGCAAACTTGATTCAACTGGGAAGATTCAAGTGTTTCAATTCTCTTCCAATTAACAACTCCTAAAATATAGACCAAATGCCCTGATGAGTACTTGGCATACTACTGAAAGTAGAGTAAGAATGTGGAAATTCAATTGTCGAGGAAGCAATATATTATTTTCAAGTGTGTCTAAAGTTAGTGTAGTCAATGACTCAATGCAATCTTTAAAAAACTTGATGTCACTAAGGTTGCCAGAAAGGCCAAAACCCATGGCCAATCCTGACATCAACTTTTCAAAATATTGGCAACCAAGTTAAGCACTTTATGGAAATGAAGTAAAGCAATCTAAATGACCGAGCAACTCTGTGCATCAGACTGCCAGTTATAAACTACCCTGCATACCATTATCTTCTGATTAACTCAATCAAGTGACAATTTGGAAGCACCGAAGCAGACTTCATATTGGTATTATTCTGAAAATTGGACACAACTGAAGAAAAGGAATAACATTACCTTCAGATATGGTGCAAGTTGGAAGAAGTCTCCCACAACAAAGTCTATATAATCTTCCACGCCATATATTTTTGCATTATTAGAAGCCATTGCAACTTTATGTGGATCAATGTCAATAGCAACAACGTGTTGAGATCTAGGAATGAGAAAAAAAAAGAATTTAGACAACCGCATTTTCAAGAAATATTAATACTCAACAAATAGAAACAAAACAAAATGTTGAACAGAATTTAAATCTGAATACCAAAACGAATATCTACTCATGTATTACATGCATGCATACAGATATCTACGTAGAAATATGTGTGTGCTTTACATGTGCGAACAATGTTTGTGTCATCGGGAATGGATAATTTTCTTTGAATTTTTCCATTAAAAATGCAACGCAACAGACTTAGTGCAACCCACAACAGAATTTTATGCAAGTGAAAGGAAAAAGAAAGAAAAAGTGAACTCACAAGGATAAATTTACACATACAATCAGGACACATATACGGCACTTATTTCACCTATTTAGTGTAAAGGGCAGTCAAGTAGGTTCATGTATTTCTGTAATGCATTATTTGAATCTAAACCCAGAGAATATCTCCGAGCAAAGATTCACTTCACAGCATGAAGGCCCAACACAAAGCAAGGTTACAGTGCAGAATGACCTTCAAAGATCTATGGTTCATCGTTCGGGCTTCAAACACTGCACACCATGAGGCTAAAATAAGACTGATAAATGTCTGATCTACAGAGATTTAAGCAGCTAAATCAGAAAGAACACACTCCACATAACATGTTGAAATAGATTTCAAATAGAGCCCCCTCCCTAAACACATACACAGACAAAAAAAAGAAGTATTTGAACTAAGTTGTTAATGGATTGGCCAGAAAAAAGGGCCTTATTATGAAATTTTAGGCTGTGACATACATGGTACAACCTATGATTCAGCACTTAGATTTCTACCAGGAATCAACACGGAAGCAAAATCAGAAGCAATCACAACATTAAATATGGCTGAAATTTGCAGTATGCAGCTAACCAACAGAAGGAAATGGCAGAAAAGGTCGTCTATGACATGTGTATATCCAACATATGCACACTTTGGCTTCTCTTCACTGCAATAAAATTCATTTTTTCCGTTTCACTATTACCTTTACTTCCTTGCATTGCAATAAAATTCATGTTTATTCATTATAAAAAACAAGACTATGTTAAACCTCTATCCCCTAAACCAAAATAAGCATCACCCATGATTTTGGGCCATTCCCACATTGGTTAAGTATGGACAGAGAAGTATATATAATAAACACTTAGGCACTCTTTCCTCGCTAGCAAGTGTTCAAGGGTAAATTGTCTACATGAAGCCAGCAATTGGTATTAGAGCCTGCCACACGTTTGGGCCTGTCACTTTTATTGGATGGTGACACCACGGGTCAATGATGACGTGGTGTCACCGATACACTCAATATTTTTTCCAAAGGAAGGGTACCTTACGGTTTTTAAGGGGGAGTTCTCCCATGGGTTCACAGCAGATTTGGACATTGGCAAGAACTGTGAACTAGTGTAAGATATAAAACTCACCAAGTAAAGATACAAGCGTCCAACCTAAAGATAACACATTACCCAAATCCTTGAAATGGAAATTAAATCACACAATCTCTAAAATTTATCAAACACTTACACCGAGGCAAATTGTATGGCATTACCACCGACGCCGGCAAAGCAATCAATGACTACACCGCCACCACTCCGCTCGGCGTGCCGGACCGCAATCTCTTCCGGTGTAACGGAAAACCACCCTTCTTCGTCCAATTTGATACCCTTATCGTATCTCGAGAAAAGATCATACCTTTGCAACCAATACCTGTCAACAAGTGGAGTAACCCCTTCTTCTTCCTCTAATTTAGCTTTCTTTTTCGCCTTAATTTTCACTAATATGACAAAAACAAAAGTAAGATAACATATATACACAAAAAATGCATATAAAAAATCGTTTCAAAGAGCTTGAATGTCCGTGTAATGTGATCAGTACCTAGGCGTTTCAAGAGAGTGCAATGTTTCTTCGAGCGCCGACGACTCTTGCGAGGCATTGAAGCTTCAGAATCGATGAATCAAACTTTTTTCTTCAGCGCGTCAGATTCTCTCTCTCTGTCTCTCGTGCTATGACTTATGTGTACCGTTTGATAAATATTTAAAGGCCCGTTTGAAATCAAGGGAGGACCCACATTTTTCTGAATTTAAAATTTGCCAACTTAGTTTGAGTCAACGAAAAGAAAATAAATTGGGCTTGAGTCTCAAAAAAAAAAAATTGTTTCAGAAAATAGCTTTTGGAAAAAAATTTTAGAAAAGTATTTTTGATTTTTTTTGAGATAAAAATTTATTTGATTATAATAATTTCAAAAATAATTATACATAACCAAAAAATAGTAAAATTTATTTAGACAGTTTAAATATATAT